TACTGCTACTGCTACTACTACTACTACTACTACTACTACTACTACTACTACTATTACTCCTACTACTGCTACTACTACTACTACTGCTACTGCTACTGCTACTGCTACTGCTACTGCTACTGCTACTGCTAAAGCTACTACAACAACAACTACTACTACAACTGCTAGGTATGTTTGCTTTCCTGTGCTGCTACTACTACTACTACTACTGCTGCTGCTGCTGCTGCTACTACTACTACTACTACTGCTTTTGCTCTTACGCTTGATTTGCATTGCTATTGCAAGTGCAAGCACAAGTTTCCAATTACTACTTACGGATGAATACGAACAGCTAATCGCGAAGGTCTAGGCAGTATCTTTTTCACGACTTGCTATCTACTCATTGCAGGGTCCTGGCGTCACCACCCAATGCGCGGACAATTCGGCGTCAGACAAAGTGGCGTCACAATTCGGCGTCACCTGAAACAATGCGGCTTCAGGAATTCGGATTCGGCGTCAGGTCGTTTGCCACACTCCCCCAGACGCCCCTCCTCTATCTTCCATTTGTAACTCATTACACATTGCGAACTTAGTTATTTCCAGTTACGAATTATTCGGAGCGAGGTGCTACTTACATGTACTTACGATATTGCAAGTACTATGCATTGATTGCTGCTGCTAGCTACTACCTGCTGGCTCCGGCTTGCGATGTGTTTGGAGCATGACCGTCGCGCCCGACGTTCGCTCTTCAGAGATGGTGCTGCGCAAACTGCTAACTACCAGCTGCTATTTACTAACATCACTATATATTAAGTTATGTGCTATGTGCGATCTACTATTTACAGAATTTACGTTTGCCATTATCACTGCTGTTACTGTTGCCGTTGCTGTTACTGCTGTAACCGTACTGGTGGAAATGGTACTGGAAATTGAAATAGTACTGGTATTAGTAGCAATGGTAGTAGTGATAGTTCTTCGAATACTAACAGTTGTGCAAATAGCATGACTGTCACTGTTGTTATTCCTGTTGCTCTGATTATTTATAGTACCATTACCATTACTCTCTATTGCTTTTTCTAGTTGCTGTTACTAGTTACGAATGGCAAATGACCAATTACGAATTACGAACGATACTTTCCATTACTATTGCTCTTGAGAAGTACTAGTGCAGTTCTGGCATTACGATTACGAATTCTATTGCTCTGACTGTACTGTTATTGTTGCTGATACCATTACTATAACCATCACCCTTGCTACGCCATTGCTGTTCCTACAGCGCTTGCCATAATGTTCTCGTTATCTGCTGAGCTGGCTTTCGGGCCCAGCCTGCGGAATCCAAAACTTAAAAAGACCTTACTCTTACTCTTACGATCTCTTTGCCCATGATTGTCATGACTGTTTCCATTGGTCATAGTCTTCCTCCTGCCGTGGTTAATAATTTCCACTGTTGCCACTCTTGCAGCTGCTGCTGGTGTTGTGGTTGCTGGTGTTCGGGGGTGGCTGTTGCCATGGGCCTGCTGATAAGCATCACTATGGCATTCACTACTAGTCTTGTCGTTGGACTTTTTTTGGTTGATTCGCTGGCTACCCCTGGGGTGCTTAGTGAGCCGAGGTTGAAGACGCACATGGCAAAGCAGCTGCTGACCGCGCAGAGTGTCTCGCTGGAAGGGCCTGAGGTTGCATGAGAGCCTCAGGTCGTGTGTGTCTCCATGGGGTTTTGTTAGAGTCCAGTGCGGCCCGGAAAGAACTGACCCTCGCCCAACCGCTTGATGCCTCGGCTGTCGGTGCATAGTCTGTGCATCGACCCTTCTGTACAGTGGCATGTCTGGCTCCCAGCACTTGGCAGATAACCCAGGCTTGGATGGACATACGGCCATGCACATTGCTGCTCGCTTCGGTCGACGCGGCTGTGTGAAGTCGCTGGCCAGACGCCTTCCGGATCTTGTGAAGGCCTGACCGAGATGGGCACAACGGCACGAGTGATCGTCTCCCGGCCTCTTGTGTCTACAGGTGAAGAACCACTCCGGCCACCCCTGTTTGCACGAAGCTGCCCGCAGAGGGAACGACAGCTGTGTAGAGACCTTGCTGGCGCCACTCGGATGACTTGTATCTACAACTCTCAGTTCCTGCTTTCTGGTTGTGTACTTCTTAGTCCCCGCGGAAGCATCCCGAAAGCGCTCAGGTTAGGTGGCGCGGTCGAGCTTTCGGCCACCTCAAAGAAGTATGCACAGAGCCGCGGTCACAGCCACTCGGCCAGCTCCAAGGCTTTGACGGGCTCCTTTCACAGCGGTTTGGCAAACCGGGACTCCAGTGCTGTCCTAAGGTGAGATTGCGGATGCTTTAGTACAGATGGAGAAGCGGCTAAAAGCCCAGAAATCGATGAAACATTCTCGTTCCGCACCGAGCACACTGCCACACATGAGGTAGGACAGCGTGCGTTTCACTCATTTTGCCTCTGCACCGGGCCGTTACCTCCCCCCTGAAATGCCGCTTCGGCTGCGTCTCACCGTCTCACCGCTCCCGATAAGAAGCCCGGCTCTGCAAGCGAAAAAATCGGCTCGCTCGGCTTTGTGGCAGCAGCGGAAGGGCCTCGCTGGCCAGGAACCACGTCGGCTTCGGGCACTTCGGTTTCAGGAGCTGAGGCCTGGCCTGGACTCTGCTTGTGACATGCCGCGCCTAAGCCATCCTAAGCCCCCTATGCGCCGTAGAATGCTAGAGCGGAGGAGCCTTCTCCCTGCCCAGGACCAGGAGCTGACGATGCTAGCCGGGCATCTCCGGCAGGCGAGTGAGTGTGAAGGGCGGTAACTTTCTCTCTGAGACTGAATGAGCCTCGGTAGGCTGCCCAGGTCCTGAGCTGTTGATGGGCTGCAGCACATTAGGGCCGGGGTGGATTCTGCAGGCTCTGGATCTGGGCATCGGGCCTTCACCTCCGCCAATGGCAATGCCTGACTGCATGTCCGGGCCCGATCCTTTTTGATGCTTCCGAGTGACTTCATGGAAGAAGTTGTTGCTGCTAGTCGGTCACGTGACTCCAGAGTCCGATTGTCGCGATATCGCCCCCTGCTGTCTCAACAGAATTCGAAGAAGTTCGTTCGACCTGCCTCTGGCCGTGGCTCTGAAGGTACGCTGGCAAGGGGCTTCCGCTTCCCTCGCCAGGGCCAGGCCCAGAGCCGAGAGCGCCCCCGATTCTTCTTCAGTTCGAAGAACTTCCTGAGCTTTTCAGGCCTGCGGCGTCCAAACGTGGACTCCTTGGCTGTGGAGGCTTCGCCTCAAGCTTTGGCTGGGCATCTCTCTCTGGGCCTGAATATATACAAAATCAAGACATCACATATGAGCCACCCAGGAAAATAATTTAAAGGGCTCCCAGCTGCCGCACGATTGCCAAGCCAGGCCTTGGACCAGGTCGAGGCCGCCGAGGCTTCAGGCGATTCTGATCCGTCGGTGGCTGGGACATGTCGGATGCACATGAAGTTTTGGAAAAGTCAGTCTTCCAGTTTTTTGAGCTTTTGGACTCCCAGGCCTGTCGCTCCATCGGGGAAGAGCAGCGGTCCTCTGACACTTTGCTTGCTCTCTCCATATCTCCATAATCACAATGAGGTAGATCGCGGCGATCGAGAGGACAAGAGGGTAGCCCAGAGCCATTCTGGATTGTTGACTTTGCATGCCGTGCCAGGTTCTGGCTATGCAGATGTTGAGAAAGCAAACATGCGGACTGCGATGCTCAGTTTGAGCGCAGACATCTGTGCCGGTGCTGTGGCCGTGGACTCGGAAATGGGGGTCCTTGTGCGCCTCCCTCACGTTGAGAGTCGAGGCTCCAGAGTGCAAGGCCGGATGGATGCGCTCGGCAGTGCTACCGTTGGCACCGAGTCCAGGATACTGTGTGACTTGTGCGTTGCAGTGCAGAGAACCACAGAGCGCAACGTATCCGCTTCGAGCCGACTGGAGGAGCAACTGAGCCTCCGGCCGCTCCGGCCGCTCCGCCGACCTGTGACACCCAGGAGGGCGCTGTGGCGTGCTGTGAGGGCTGCTAACGTGGACCGCGCAGGTGAGGTGCTGCGGTTACGACGGTTGTGTTCGCGTCCATTCGTACTTGTACTCGTAGTTTAGACTCCAGACTCTGGTTCGAATCGCCGGGAAAGGCAGTTCTACTAATTCTACTATGCTCTACCTGGAGCAGGGAAGTGAGTCGGACAGTGTCGCAGAGCCATGATTCAAGCAGTGCCGCATGAAGTATGCACGCAGCTGCCGAAGGACAGCACAACCATGACGAGACCTCTCAGCGAAAGCCTGGACAAAGAAGATGTGGAGCATTTGAGAAGGTCGCTCGAGGGTCTCGGCACTGCAAGACAGCAGCCTTTGATCTGTTCCAACAGGGCTCGGCCATCTGCGAGCCTATCCTGGGAGGCTGCGCCAACTCTCGGACTCAGACCTACGCCAACTTTGCGCAGGAAGGATGCCGTGCATGTTCGAGTAGCCGCGACAGTGAGGGAGTGTGGAGGTGAAGTGGCAGGGAAAACAGCAAGAGAGCGCGCCTTCATCAGATCGGCAATGCTGCGGGCGCCTCAGCTGGAGCTTCGGAATCAAGAGAAGGCAGTGCCCGTCTTGGTTAGGCCCCTGGGCCTTGGCAGCGAGGTGTCCGCTCCCCGCTTAAGGCAGCTTGGAAGTATTTGACGGGCCTTGGCCAGGTTGAGATCGCCGGGTTTCCCGTTTTCGTGCACATCTACGATGCAGAGACCTCAGCCTTTTGCCGCAATGATGCTGTGTGTGCGGCAGCTGAGCTCGCCCTTCCAGAGGTGACACAAGAAGTTGGTATACGGCGTCTAAACAAGGCAGGGCATGTGTGACCTGCAGTTGTGCAGAAACATGTGGCATGCGGCACGCTGTATATTATGACCTCCGCAGGTCTTGGCGAACAAGCGTTTGCCCGTTAAGCTCTGCGCCTGGCCATCCGCTACTGGGAACATTCTCTTCGGAATCAGACTCTGAAGTCTATCAAGCGATGTTGGCCTGCAGGTTTGGAGGCGTATTCCACGCAGGTGTGGAGGTGCCAGGGAGCTCAAGCTCGCAGTTTGCAGCAGTCGTTCAGCACCATTTTCTCGCCTGTGGCTCCAGAGCCGATCACTTCAGAGCCTCTCGCTACAGGCACCAAACATTAATCTGTGGGAGTTTGTCAATTTTGTGGCACAGGTGAGGGACAAGCATAGCCGCTAGCCACCATCACTCACAAAAGCGACGCCAAGTTGAGCTGTTTCGCATGTACTTGTTGAGACTGTCTGGCTACGGCCACCCATTCTCAGGCCATAGTCCCCGCGAGACTTTAGATATTTGTCCTCTCGGCCTCACCGCCGTGATGGACACCATGGAGCCAGCATGGCCCACAGAAGGGTCTCGGCCTTGCTGGGATACCACTGCCTCCTGTCCGCAGCCGCTTGCCCGAAGATTGGAATCGTTCTGCAGCGTCACTGCTGTCGGTTGCAAGGCAAGACTTGCCAGGCGGTTTTCGATCAGCCTTAGGAGTTGCAAACAGAGGGGACATGCGAGACCAAGCCTTATGATGAGATGAGGCTTACTTCCTCGGAGCAGGCGGCCTTCCCGACGTTGCTGGTCTTCTATTCATCTGCGCGGGCAGAACAGAGGGCAGAGAACTTTCGGCAAGTACAGAGATGCCTCTGTTCAGAGAGGGCACTGGCCCGGAAGCATTTTGAGGCTCGTATCAGAACCCTTGCCTGTTGGCATCGGTCGACTGCTGATAGCTTTGTAAGTCAGAGGATTGCCCCGTGGCCCCGTGCATCGCAAGGATGGCATCGCCTCGAAGCCACCTATGGGCTACAATTCCTGGAATGACTTGGAGTGCCGGCCATCGGAGGCGAAGCTTAAGGCATCTCGGTGCAAAATCGCATTTAAGGGCACTCGGCCAGAAGGCAGATGTAGGTAGGACGGGGGTCATTCAGCATCCGAGGCCATCGCCGACTCTCGGTTGCAGTGTTAGCCACGTGCTGTTGCAGGAAGCAACTACATGCTGACAAAACTCTGTAGGGGTTTGGTGGCACCCTCCGTCAGGATAAGATCGAGCACGTGGGCCTGCTGGCGCTGGGATACGAGTACATCGTTGTCGACGACTGTCCTTTCGGTTGCACTGCAGAGCCGGATATTAGTCGATGCAAACCAGAGGCTCTGAAAGGGTTTAGTGGGCACTTGTACGAGGGATGTCAACGGAGGTTTTTGAAAGTTGCAACCTTGTGGTCTGACGTGGTGTCTGACGTAGGCGACGAGTGTGTGATGATTGAAGTGGGGCACGCGAAGCAGCACCGAAGACTTGCAGCAAAGCGCAGCCAATTTGCCATGAGCAAATTCTGGCTGGTTCGGTGTTGTATGTCGAAACTTCGAAGGGGGCACCTGCACTGCCACGCCCCCACACCGCAGGAAGGCAGGCAGGCAGGCAGGCAGGCAGGCAGGCAGGCAGGCAGGCAGGCAGGCAGGCAGGAGGGAAGGAAGGAAGGAAGGAAGGAAGGAAGGAATGTTGCATGCCTCGTCCGCATAGCTGAGGCTGGATGATCAGCCGAGCTGCTTGGTGCCCAGCTGTTGTGAATCACCTTGCCTATGCTCTGCCACGCATCCTTGTGCCTTGCGCGCCAGTTGAGCTTTTTGGCTAGAAGCAATGGCAGGCACAAGATGCAACGAGTTCAGGTTCATGTCTCGACTGAAACTTAGACTGCCAGTGATCAAGACAACATGCAGTACAAAGGGGTATTCTGTTCCGCAGCTCTCTCCGTGATGTTGCGAGGGAGCACTCGCAAATGGGCCAAGTGCGTACTTCCCAGAGTCCTGTGCCGAGGTGAAGCTAGCAGCAGCTTGCCTGCCCATGAGTTGCCCCAGATAACAAGGCCGAACTCTCCAGCCTTCCCACTGAGCCTATACGAAGTACCTCCTCCAGTGCACGTGCCAAATCACATCCCGCGCCCTTCCTACGCCGATCACCCGCGAGGGATCCCACGAGCCTTGAAGCCGGAAGAATATGCCGAACGAAAATCACCTGCCATGATTAGCAAGATGCGACGAGCATGTGGTCTTGCAGCAGAAGCCTTGGTCGTGGCCTGCGATGCTGCAAAGGAGGGGGTGACAACCGACGAGGTCGACCGCAAGACCAGCGAGTTCGTCGTCTCCCGCGGTGGGTATCCTGTGGGAATCAACTACTATGGATTCCCCCGTGGCCTCTGCGCTTCGCCAAATGAAGTGGCCCTGCATGGAGTGCCGAACACCCGGCCGTTGGAAAATGGGGATATCGTCAACTTTGACGTCACCGTCTTCCTGGATGGAGCTTATGGCGACTGCTCCGCCATGGCCTGCATTGGTGAATTGGAGCATAATGCATACTGCTTGGTGAGAGATACAAGGATGTGCCTGGAGGAAGTCATCAAGAAAGTAGGGCCCGGAATCAAGTTGAATCAGATTGGGCATTGGTGTCAGAGCCTTGGCAAAAGCAAAGGCCTCAACACAGTGCGCGAATTCTGCGGCCATTTCATTGGGAGCGAGCTACACATGCAGCCGAATGTCAGCCATGTGCAGAATTCTCTGGATCTAGAGCTTCTACCGGGCATGACCTTCACCATTGAGCCCATCTACATTGAGGGTCGTGATGCCACGATCCGACCAGCCTTGGAGGATGGCTGGACCATCCTGACAAAGAGGGGCGACTGGGCGGCCCAATGGGAGCACACAATTCTCATCACCGATCACGGTGCGGAGATTCTCACACAGGCACTGTAGGCGGCTGTGCAGGCTGGAAACCTTGGGCCTGCAAAAAGCAAAGTGTTGCAAGATCATGAAGGTGCCTGCCCGGACTGCAATCGAGCGCGAGGGGGGAAAGGAGGAATGTGAGAAAGAGGCGGAGAGCTAGGATGAGCTAGGAGAAGTGTTAGGGGTGCCGTCAGTACGAAAGCGAGACTAAGACCGCTTACAGCGAGACGATGGAAGGTTGGGGGGGAACACATCGAGAGGAGCCACGTCAGCCACGTCTTGTCTTCATGTCAAGCATTGCTTGCAACGAACGGTGCCCTCGGCACTCAGCCCCCCACTCCGCTCTCCAAGGCAGATGGCACATTGATGGCAGATCGCAAGGCCTTTCCGTCAGGCTGGGGGAGTGGCGTTGAAGGTCTTGCTTGGCTTAGGCCAGCACCGGGAGTATTGTTTGTTGACTTGACGTTCTGTGGCATAGTGACTTGCCGGCTTCATACTACAGTGGCACGCTGCCACCTGGTGTTTCGTAGAGACCTAATGCAGCCGGGAGTGCAGCACGAATTTGTATGCAGGGCTGCGACGTGTTCGGCCAGCCTGATCAAGCTAGCGGAATTTCCAAGATTCCGACTATTCCGACCAACTCGTTGCCACGTTATCCCACATCCTCAGCAGGGATTTTTCGTGTCGCAGACATTCGCGGACTGAAGCGTGACACCCGGTCTGCAGGCCCGAGGTACTGAGAGAGGGGAGGGGGAAGTGCGGCAGATGCGGCAGGCATGAAGGAATTGGGCGATTATCTCCACGGCCTGGGCTTCAAATACGGAATCTACACGGACCGAGGCCGAGTTCGAGAGCGGTTCCCTGCAGTGTGCTCGCCTCAGGCTCAGACTTGCTTCGCACTTTAGGCTACAAGACGTGTGCGAGCCGACCCGCATCCATGGGCCACGAAGCAGAGGACGGCAGGCACCTTCTTTTGCCCCCACTGCTTGTAACCGAAAGCAAGAGTCGCAGAGGATGTTAAGGTGTCGACTCAAGTAGAAGCTGATGCCTGGCAGACTGTTTGGTTCTTGGGGTGTCGACTTCGTCAAAAACGATGGCTGCGTAGATCCTGAGTGTGCCCAGCTCAGCTTGCATGATTGCTTCTGAGCTCTGAGAGCTGCGGAAGCTCAGGTGGAGACACGATGGCTGCCTGGCTGATTGGAGCCGACCCGGCAGAGCTTTGCAGACTTCGCCTGCATGGCTCTTGCACCCACACACCGTCTCCAGTCCGCACATGTACTCGTTGGCGGAGACTAAGGAAGGCTATCCCGAGTCGGGAAAGTGCGACGACAAGGGAAAGCGTGCTGCCGTGCGCAAGTATCGCTGCTTGGCCGAGTGGAAGCGCCTAAGACCGCTTGTCCACCCCACCCGTTTTTGCGACATCGTGGCTCAACCTGAGGGCTGTTGGCGGAAGCTGGGTGCTTACTCCTGTCGCCCCATGGGTGGGTGACTATCTCACGCTTGAGGATGCATTCGGTCGTCTCATTCAGACACCTGAGGCGCTGAACCGGAGTGGTCGACCAATCGCACCTTAGCCGCATCTTGTTAAAGTCGCACGATCAACAATTCTCTCAATCCTGCTGCAGGTGCACGCTGGTAGCAGTCCTGACTCAGTTCTTGAAGCTTTGAGGTGCACTCCATTTGCGGATGGAATCCATGGTATGCGCCGGTGGGACGACAAATTGGACACCTTTGGCGTTAGACTCTGAGACACATCGTCTTCTATGGCCGCTTGTGGGGTTTAGTGTGCTGGGTGTCGGAATCGCTTGCTGAGACTTGCTGCTGATGTCACGGATACAGACATTGCTGGAGTATGCTGGAGTCAAGTCGTCGAGACCGAGCATGAGTTGGATAATGCTCGAAAAGTTCAGATATTTGTATCCTGCTTAACCTTCGGCTCAAGTGGCCTTGTGGCACAGATCTATGTGGGTCTGTCAGAGTGCGCTTGCATGCTCACCCTACGTTGCCGCAGCCTTGTCTTTGCAGAGTGGGGAGGCGGAGCATGACAGGAGTTCTGTGATGTCAGGTTTGGCTCTATGCTTACATGGTTAGTTGCGCCAGCTCGACGCCCGGAATTGCAAACCTGTCGGCATGTCAGTCGCTTTGAGTGCGCTGCGGCCGCCTGTGCTTCTTCAAGGTGCTTCTTTGCTACAGCCTCTTCGGAGAAGCAGTGGAGCTGCACAAGAACCCTGAGGATGTTCCAGGAAGGAGGCCATGCTCGAATGAACTGATGCGCTGCTGACACCTCATTGCATCAGAACGCTGGGCCCTGTCCCATGCCATGGTGATACATCGATGTTGGTAGCATAAACATTGCTAACCTCCTGCCCGCCCGGTTGCGACGATTGTGAGACCGTTTGACCGTTGTGTGTTTGGCCAGGCATGTGAGCGGTCCAGAGGCGGGTCAGAGTGGAGACTTCACAGCTGAAGGAGTAATCTGAGAAGAGCGGAGGCTCCAGCGCTCCTCCGTTCAGAGCGGCGGGCGATAGCTGTCTCAGATCAAGGAGAGCCCAGCCTCGGGCTTGGCTTCGGAAGCGCACCTTGCGGGAAGCATGCTAGTTGTGTGAGCGCCTTCTGCCGGGCATCCATGCAAACAAGCAGCTTGAAGTACTTCGAGCTAGCTTGCAGCAGGCGGTTAGTATGGAAGGAACGCATGCGACACGAACGAGATCGAGGGTTTGAGCGGCGATGCGCGGGCCGACTCGTGGCAAAGCGCGGGAGGACTGGACAATGCACGCAACAAAAATCGACTGTCAACGAGGATGTAGTGATTCCTGCGACTCATGACAACCATACTGTAGCTCTATACTTTCGCAGGGGCCCAGAAAAACCTGGAGGCCGTTCCTGAAGACATCGCTGCCAAACATGTTGGCCCCGGGCTGCGATTGAGCTAGAGCAGGATGCGACGCGTGCTTTCGCGGAACATAAACTGGAGTCACTAGATGCTGGCTCCTGCCAATTCCGTATGGCAGGAGGCATTTGCAGAAGCACGTGCTTGGCTTTCATTCCCATTGAATGCGCTGAGGCGGCCTGAACGAAGAGCTTCTGCAGTTGGAGAGCGAGGTCAACTCCTACGAGAAGTCTGCTGCAGAAGATGCCGCTGGAGAGACCCTTCACGGCAGAAGTCGGCCAGGCAGCTTTTGAGTTTGGGTGACAGTGCCGTGCAATCTGAGGAGTGGTGAAGACAGCCCAAAAGTGCGAGCCTCAGACAATGTCTACCGTAGAGGTCCGCCCTTTCTACTAGTGGGAATTGCCGACTGTTTTGGGCAGGTGGTGGCATGTGCCGGAACTGTCCAAGGAGAGATGCTGGCTCATTGAGGGGCTCTGTCCAGCAGTGCAGTACTGCCAGGAGCAGTGCCGCAGGGCTTCGAGTACCCTGAGAACTACCCCAGCGATCCAGCTACTTGGCTCCGTTGCTTTGCAGGAGCTGCGAGCGTGTTGCTTCAGGGAATGCCTGCCCACCTTTCTTGACAGAAAGAGGCAGAGTCCAGCTTATATTAGTCCTTGAAGTTTGCGAGATGTGTGGGTCGCTTGTGTTGAGGCTTGGACCGTGAAGGACATCTGGAACAGACTCCTGACTGCAGAAGCACTTTCGGTTCTGAGACAGCTCGAGAGATCTCGATAGTCATACGAGCCGGTGTAGGCAGGATTCGACAGAGAAGAAAGGGAGCACACCTTAACTGAGGCAACAAGCTTGGTTTTTATGGCCCTGGTGTGGCGAATGCCAGATATGCTGCGGCCCCTCTGTCGGCAGCATGGGATGGAACGTGAAGGTTTACGCAGCCACGGACGATGATGAACGATGTTTCTGCTAGCTTTGCCGACTTTATCTGCAGTTTTTGCGGTGTACTCAGGTCACACTCGCAGAGCATCAGCCAATGGGTGGCTACTACTACATAGTGCACAGGGACTCAGCTTGCCAAGCTGGTGGCCAAATCTGGAGGCTTGTGAGTCCATTCAGGTTTGGAGACCGGCTCCCGAATCAAACGGCAGAGATGAAGCTTGATCTTCCGGTCGCGGCACCCAGACCTTGCATGCTTCCGACATGCCTTCAGTGCGTCAGCGGTCTCCAAGTGTCCTCAGAGCGCACTGGCTGAGATGAGCGACTGCGAGTTCGGGGATGCGGCGAAGGTCTACATGCGGACGGGCTCACGCGCAGACTCTGAACCACGGGCCTCCGGCAACGTTACCACTACATGGAATGGAAGCCCAGCAGCATGTTTCCCTGTCAGCCTGCCTGAAGGGATCTCGCTTGGCAGTGCGCAGGTTTCCCCAAACTGTGTGGCAACAGTTCTGGGGGTCGTTGTGGGATGTAGGTGCTCACCTGTTCTCTCACTGTCTGGGGTCTACGCTGATTTCTGACGGCACAATGGTGAGTCCGTTTTGCTTCACGTGATATATGCAGGAAATCAGCTAAACTTTTTGATCTAAGAGAGCCAACTGGCCTCAGATTGCCGCAGCCAGCCTATGCAATTTGGCCTTCGCGAAGGAACGACCTGGCGGCTCTACGAGAACCCTGCAGTGTCTGTCCAAGATTCAGATTGGACTGCAAGAGGATTTATCTGGTAGGTAGCAGGCGGCTGATCTCACTCCTCAGCCTCACGCTGTTGCTCATTGAACAAAGGCTTTTAGACTTTGGATAACGGACTGCCTGCGCAACAAGCCTGCATGGACAACGACCCAGGCACCTCGTCCAGCTCCCAAGGAGGAAGAAGAAGAGAGTACGCCGGCACGTTTAACATCTCGCTGTGCGTCGAAAAAGGATTGCCGCCCTTTCTACTGGTCGCCTACTGCAAGGTACGATCTTCCCATTCATCAAGTTTCCGTCTCTGGATGGGGTGCAGGACTTGCTGATCCTGTCAAGGTTGTGTGGGCCAAGTCTGGGCGGGGCAGTGAGCAACGAGGCATCGAACTTGACGACCAAGCATCCCGACCACACTGCGTTCGCAAACAAGACTCCGGAGGAGGAGGAGCGGATCTGCACCTACTAATGCTAGACCGTGTGAAGTAATTTGCCTTGGCCACCACTTTTCAGAGCTCCTGCAGATTACAAAGTGGCGTCCAGCTCTTGGTGCCGTCTGCTTCAAAGGCAGTTCCTCCCGACCCCTTCGTCATCAAGATCAAGGGCTTGTCAGCCCCTGCCACCACCACGGCAGCAGACTCGGAAGCCGAGATGCCAAAGTGTTTACAATACTTTTCATGAGATTGCAGATCAGATTGCAGGGAGAGGCCTCCCTCCACAACGACGTGTCCCAGATCAAGCAGACTTTGCAGGAAGTGTGGCAAGAGATCCAGACCTTGAAGGCAGTCTCCCTCCCTCACTCTCTGGCCTGCAAAATTGACCTTTCACCGTGTGGCAGCTCGCCGGTGGGAACATGGAGGGTTTGTCGGTGCGGGCCTCATGTGTGAGCCCAGCGTGGTGACGATCTGATCTGGCATGTTTCCACATTGATTCGGTGTTTTGCCCTGCTTTGCTTGCCACTCGCCGACAGAGACGCCCAACGCCCGACTTTCAAGAAGCTGCAACGGCCAAAGCACTTGCACGAGTCAAAATGATTATGCCTACCAGTCGCAATAGAGTGCGATCTACGGCGCAGGCAGTAAATGTGGGAGAGCTCGGGGTGCACCTTTGCTATCCTTTGCTGTTCGCCCCTTACAAAGGACAACATACCTTCCGGCTTCGACCCGGAGGAGGACCTGAGCATTTTCAGACCTCGTGATGTTGCTTGAAGTTGACAGTTGACACTGAGAAGACAGTGACGAGAGCGCGGCAGGACGTGGTGAACATCAAGGACCTTGGCTGCCTGCGCTGGCGCCGGGAGCTTCGCCAGCGCAAGGCGACCTGCACGCTGAGCCTGCTAGGACCTGTACCTCGCTGGCCGGCTGCATCCCAAGAAGGGGCATTTCCAGATCGATGCCGATGGAAGTTCCAGCATCCACGAAGATGGAGTGTGCCTTGCCTTTCAGAACTTGAACATGACGCAACAAACAAACAAGCTTACTCCACTGGCAGCTTGACCTTGTCTCGAACCCGCGAGCGCGGATGCTGCTGCTGCTTCCTGCTCTTGCTGCTCCCCGCCATCCCACGGCTGCAATCTCGCAACGAGCGTGGCCGCGAACTTTGGATGCAAGAGCTGAGGAATCTGCGTCTGGATCCGGGCACTTTCCCCTCGCCACTCAGTGGGGACAACGATCTCTACGTGTCATCGCCTGCACCAGGATTTTGTGCGGTAACGAGCTGGAGTCTAGTACAAGTGCGTTGGGCGGGTGGGCTCACAAAGCTGGAAAGGGTTGCGAAGCTGAGATGAACCTGGCGGGCTACTCCTGCAGCAAGTTCTGGGGATGCTTGGCTGAGAGGCGGAGAGGCTGAGAGGCGCATGGGCGCATGGAGGCGCTGCTGAGCTGAGGAACGCTGCGCATCACCAAAGACCGGCCGGAGGGTGCCAAAAGAATCACCTTCTTCGCTTTCCAGGAGGGGGTCTGCGCCTTCTTCCGTGCAGTTTTCGGGGCAGACCCAGCAGGACAACAAGACCGTCGCGTCGGTGCTCGTGGGCGGCAAGGTGAAGCGAGACTTCGGCTTCCAGTATCGTGCTCTGTCAGAAAACTCTGGGGCGGGTCTGTTCGGATTCGGCTTCCGCAAGACAGCCAACTGCCTGCAGACCCTCTGAAACGCTACACTCAGCAACTCGTCCGAAGC